ATAACGGACTACAACGGTATGAGTCACTACATACTATATAATATTTCCCTTATACTGTAAAATATATACTGCATCATATCCATTCATAGCATACTATTTTAATCTGCAGTGTTATAGTTGATTACAATATCCAATATACTCACTACATACAGTATATGCGGTATAGCACACACTGAATTAGAATATGTTATTCTTCGTTTTGTTACACAATACATTATTTATAAGTCAAATATAAAAAATATCACAATTAATTGTACTTCGAGTTAGTGTACTAAGGAAACCAAGATCACACAAAAAATTAATTTTTATTCTCAGCATAGCCTTCATAGCTGCATTTGGCACATGAACTCATGTGTACTTTTTCAATTCATAATTCCTTCCTGCCATACATCTGTTTATTGTCATACAAATTCTCTGTCGATTGCTTGCCTGGCAGGCCTTTACGCTAACTCTAGTCGCATTGGACCCATTCTTTCTGGAGAGCGACCCTATTGCACTGACCATCATCTCCTTCCTGCAGCCGGTGGTCAGGGTGACCAATACTTTGCCTCAACAACCGCTTCAGCCGCAGCAGCGACAGGCGAACTCGGAAGTTCTGTCCCAGCAACATTTCCAGGCCTTCTGTCTGCCACTATATACCTACACAGGAGCTGCCACTATGCTGCATACCTTCAACATCCAGGCAAGCTCTCAGCTAAGCTCTACTAGTTGAAATGACTCGAGGTGTCACTAAAATAGTCTTGTCTTAACAAACATATTGACATGCAAAATGAGTCAATTAGAACTATCAGTTTTGAAAGCCTACAGCCGGTACATCAAAATATCGCAAATTTGATATACCACCCGTAGGAATCTGATTGTGTTGGTCATTCAGAGTTCAAAAACCAAATGTATCCAGGCGAAGTGACTATCTATTAATAAGCTTAAAATCCGCTTTTATGGCTCGACCATACCCATAGGAAGACATCGAATGACTCAGCTGGTACCTATTTTACCCTTATCTACCTTATCCGCAGAAATACCATGGCAAGGTGTTCTCCCAATCCAAGGCAGGCATCCTCAGGTGACCATGGATCCCATTTTTCTCTTGTGCTAGAGCACTGGGATTCAGATGAATGCATAAATCCCCGTTCATTTTAGACAAATTTTGGTAAGGTCCCCGATTAAGATTTGAATTTACCCTTAAAACCGATGGCATTCAGCCAATATCATGAATACTTTTAAGTGCCAAGGTAAGTGTTGAAAATTACGTCTAACTCAGTGAAATAGCGAACCGCAGTA